GTGGTGCACGCGAGCGATATGTACACAGGCGCAGTGGGGCATATCGCCACCTACATTTTGCTCGCGTCGTCCTCGTCGACGTCGCCGTCGCTCGTCGCTCGGGGCTCGTTGCTCGTCGCTCGTCGCTCGTCGCGTCGTGCGCGCAGGCGCGGCTGTGGTGCCGGAGCCACACGGCGGGGGGGGGCGTTACGTCATACCCCCCCGCCCCCCCCCCCATGACGCCCGTCATCGCCGAACAAACAGAAACGCCCTCTATCCATGTCCGCGTCGACAGCACGCTAGCCAGGGTCCCAGCACGTCGGTTCCCTTGGCGGTGGACATGGATACATTGCGAAGGCCTCACGGCTGGTGCCGCTGACCTTGAAGGGGAACGACGACGACGACGACGACCACGACGACGACCACGACGAAGACGAAGACGAAGACGACGACGACGAAGACGACGGCGACGGCGACGGCGACGGCGAAAAACATGCAAAGGCTTATTGGAAAGCATTGATTTTTCTTTTTGGGGTTGTCTGGGGAGTGCTTGTTGGCTCCCTCGGGATTCCTGGGAGCCTCTTGGGGGCTCCTTCCGCGCCTCTTGGGGTACTCTGCCGCCTCGCAGGCCCTGCTCCCGAAGACGGCCGGCCGCCGGCCGGAAAAAACCCGCGCTCCCAGCCGACGCGGCGGTGCGCGCGGGGGACGGCCTGGTGGCGCCCGCTGCCGCAGCTGGCGGTGCGCGTCCGGGGCTTGGCGGTTTCCGCGCAGGGCGGGGGAGGATCCTGGGGGATGTTGGGGTGGCCGTTCGCCGACAGCACGTACCCAGAGATCGGAGGAGGAAAAGGTACCCACACCGCTGCCCTTCCCTCGCTTTCCCCTTTTTGGGCCTCCTGGGAGGCCCTCGTCGCCACCGCTGGATTCTCCTCGAAATCCTGGTCAGAACGCGCCCCAGGAGAGGTCCGGGGAGTAGCGGTATCCGTACCTTCCGGTCCCCCCAAGAGATCCGTCGCTCCGAATCAATTTGTCGTTGTACGTGCCCCTCCCCCGCCCTCGCCGTTGCCGCCGCCGCTGGGCGTGGAGGAGGGCGACGGCCGGTCGGACGCGGCAGCACAGCAGCCCGATCCTTCCCCAGGAGCCAGGCCCAGAGATGCGATTCTCCGACAAAATGGGAGAGCGGTTGGTTTTTGGCCGTTTTCGGCCTCCGGGGGCCTGGGGGCAATTTTCGCGCGGATCCGTTCTTGATGGCCTCGGGGCCAGATTGCAGCCCCAGGGACTGAGAACGGGATTGAGAACAAATCTAACATGATGTGCTGCAAATCCTCTCGTCGAGAATCTGGGGATGCACCGCGCCCACCTGGTGAGGGGCAACGATCGGGGGGGCCGGGGCCCCTCGCCGGGCCTCGGGGCCGTCAAGAAACGCCTCGGGACGAAAAGCAGGCCCTGATTCGGGAACCGGGCCTTCTGGGGGGCGCTGGCACCGAGAAAGTTAGAGCGGCGAAACTTCTGTGAGGTGCGAGCGGGCCGATCGGCGACGCATCGCCAATGCGGGCTCCATGACGTCCCCCCCTGAGCCGGCCCCCCCCCTCGTCGTTGCCCCTCGGAGGGAGGGGGGGGAGGGAGGTGGGGAGGGAGGGGGAGGGGGGGGGGGGGGAGGGCGGGAGGGAGGAGGGGAGGGAGGAAGGGAGGGAGGGGGGAAGAGGGGGGGAGGGGGGGAGGGAGGGAGGGGACATAGCCTGGCCAGTAAGTGTCGTGCCGCGTGCGCCACGGATGCTGTGCGACGCCATGGCGTGCCACCAGGCCCGGCCCGGGCCCGGCCTCACAGAGGCCGGGCCCGCACGGTGCTCCATGTGCGGAACCCCGGACCAGGACGCCGATGCCCGGGGCCCCCCGTGTGTCGGGGGTGGACAGCACCCCCACCCTGACACGTCGGTTCGTGAATTGTCCGTTCTCGATGCTCGAGAGGGCGCTGGCCGTCATCTTCCAGGCTGGCGCCCGCCAGGTTTGGGCCCGAGGCCGTGTTCTCACTGAACCACGTCTTGCTAAAGGGGGTGCTGTCCGTCCCCGAGTGTGGTGGGGGGTGGGGACCCCCCTCGGGTCCCTTCAGGCCGAGGGGCGGGAGGGCGGGGGAGAGGCAGGGCAGACGGAGGCTCAGGGCGCATGTAGGCATCCCTGTAGCAGCCTTCCCTCCGCCCTCTCCTCGAGGCGAGGGCGGAGCTGAGGGGCGAGGGCGGAGGGCGGGGGGCGGAGGGCGGGGGGTGGGGGGCGCGAGGGCGAAGAGGGCGCGAGGGCGGAGGGGAGGGCCGACGCCGGCGCCCGGCGCGCCCCGCGCCCTGAGCCCGGAGAGCCCCCCGAGGCCAGGGCGTGGCCGGAGCGGCCGCGGCGGGCGGCCTGGACGACTGCCGGCCCCGCACGGCGGATGTCGAGCGCCAGGAGCGCTCCTTTTCAAGCAGTGGCGAAGCGTCCTGGTGTGCCTATATAGTCCTATCGGGCCGGACGAAAGGGGGGGGATAGGGAAAGGGGGGGTACGAAATCTGCTGCACGCAGCTGGTTTCGGACCCGCCGAGGGGCCCATTCCTCGATACATGGGCGCCTCCAGCGCCAGGAGGAGCCGGGAAAATCAGCTACGTGAGCTGATTCTCCCCCCCCCCCCCTTTGCTGTCCCCCCCTTTCGCCCGGCTCGATCCTACCGAGCAATGTTCTAAGAACATGTTGTGGTTCCCACGAAATGTTCTTAGAGCATCCCTGGTTGGCACTGTCCTGTTTTACCACATCGGGTCTATGTTCTAAGGACACTGTTTTTCTTCTTAGAACATTTTTGGGTTCTAGGAGCCTTTCGTGGTAGGACCACAGGAATGCCGGGACGGTCGGTCCCTGCTCAAAGCCTCTGCTGCGCCGCCGCCGGCGGCGGGCGCTGCACGAGCGGCGGAGGAGTCACGTACAGTCAGCGCGCCTGGTGAGGAGGCGCGCGCCTCCCTCCGGGGTGCCCCTTCTCAGGCCAGCCACACCTGGGGGAGCTGTGGTCCTTGCCTCTGGGGGACCCATCTATTTCGACACCCCTCTCGAGAGATCGCCGATGCGGTGGGTTCCCCCAGGGGGTCAAGGATCACGGCTCCCCCAGCTATGGCTGGTCGGTTTGTGTGTCCCTGCCTCTGCGGCCCGTCCTCTCTGTTGTTTTCACTGGCCTCTCCCCGGGGTCAGGGTGCCCTGGCGTCCCTGGGGGCTCCGTCGCCCGCCGCGCCATAAAAGGTCCCAACTTCGGCCAGAGGAGTCCTCACCACCCGTCACTCATGCACGCTTGGACCGTATCCGTGCCCTCGCGTTCTGGATTCCGAGGTGCGATTCCCTGGATGCGTGGTTGCCCGGATCCGATCCGCGCGGGGCGTCCGCGAAGAAGAGCTCCGTCTCCACGGGGTCGCGGCCCAGGGGCCCCGCCCGCGAGACCGTGGACACGGGTATGTTTTCCGCTTGCGAGTTGCTCTCGCAGTCGCTGCCGTTGTCGCTCGCCATGCGGCGCGGTCGCCGCTGATGTTTCTCGCCATGAAGCAGGCGGTCCTTGAGGGGAGCTTCAGGCCTCTAAATGAGGTCGGAGGCTCTCGCCGCATCGCCGATACATGCCCGATCCGGCTCGGTGGGGAGCCCGATGTTCTCCACGCCGACCATCGCCGACGTCGCCGACGCATCGGCGATGCACCAGCGATGCATCGGCGATTCGGCGCGATCCTCCGACTCCATCTACAGTCAACCCGCATCGTAAAAATGGGCAACCTTCCCAAGGGTACCATGGCATCCTTGCCTCCTCGGTCCATTCTTGGCCGCTTTTGCTGGCCAACCTCGTTCGAAAAACGTTCAGGTTGGAGGTTTTCGGACGTGCTCGGCCCTTCCTAGCCTCTTAGAAGGCACGGGTCGTGTCTGTAGATGCGAGGCCTGCGCCTTCTAGAAGGCACGGGGCTTGTCTGTAGATGTGAGGCCCTCTGCCCCCCTCTGCGCGACGCCGAGGTGTGAGGCTCTTCGGACGTGCTCGGCCGTGTTCTCGCCCCTCGCTCCTCCTCCTCCTCCTCCTCCTCCTCCTCCTCCTCCTCCTCCTCCTCCTCCTCCTCGCTCCTCCTCCTCCTCCTCCTCCTCCTCGCTCCTCCTCCTCTCTCCTCCTGACCGTATCGGCTCTGTGTCCGTCAGAGGACGTAGCCGCTCGACGCGGAGGGGTTCCACCTCCCCTTCCGCCCAGATGACGTAGTCCAGGTGATCGCCGAACTCGTCATTCCCGAACTTGGCCCCCCCCCTCGGGGGCCGCCAGACCCCTCCCCCTGTGGGAGGGCGGTACGCTCACCCCTCGAGGGGGGCGATGGCGATGAGGAAGCCGCTGATCTGGGAGGTCAGTGCCTTGGAGCTCTGGATCGGCTGCGGTATCCTCGCGCAGGACGAATTCGGCTCTGCGTCCCACGATCCCAGTCGCTTCTCCGCCTCGAAGTGGTCATCCATCTCGGGGAGGCGGAAGCGCACCTTCTGGTAGGGCTCGGGGAAGTCGTCGCAGCTGCCGTACTCCTGGCCCACGTCGTTGGCGAACGAGACCCCTCTTCTCGGTCTGCGCCTGCGGGGCCGGCCGCGCTGGAGGTACGGCGCCAGGCGCGGGTCCGCGGCGAGTTCGTCCCGTGGGCGTTCGGTAATCCACTCCGCCTCGGGCATAATAGTGCCTGTAGTGCGCGTAGGCCGCGAGCTCGACGATCGAGACCTCCTCGAAGGCGTGCTGCTCCTCCTTCGGGAGCCGTTCGAAGGCCGCACGGGCCCCCGCTGCTTGCACGGTATCGAGGCGTGCTCGCAGGACTGCCTCCCCCGTTGTGTCGCTGAGTCCATTGAGCGTATCCTCGAGGTCCTCCGCGTAGATGTCCCATGGCTTTCGGATGCTCGATGGGATATGGCTGCTCTCCCATATGGTGGCGCCCTATCCGTCGTAGCTGATGGCGTCGGGCTCGTCTTTCTTTTGGGGCCCTCCCTCGTAGCTGATGGCGTCGGGCTTCGTGCTGCCTCCTCCCTTGTAGCTGATGGCGTCTGGCTCGTCCTTCGTTGCGCCACCTCCCTCGTGGCGGATGGCGGCTGGCTCGTCCTTCGCTTTGCCGCCCCCCTCGTAGCTGATGGCATTGGGCTCGTCCTTCGCTCTTCCTCCCTCGTGGCTGATGGCATCGGGCTCGTCCTTCGTATTGCCACCTCCCTCGTAGCTGATGGCGTCTGGCTCGTCCTTCGTTGCGCCACCTCCCTCGTAATGGATGGCGGCTGGCTCGACCTTCGCATTGCCGCCCCCATCGTAGCTGATGGCATTGGGCTCGTCCCGCGCTTTGTTTCCTCCCTCGCAGCTGATGGCATCGGGCTCGTCCTTCGTGTTGTCACCTCCCTCGTAGCTGATAGCGTCTGGCACGTCCTTCGTTTTGCCCTCGCCCTCGTAGCTGGCGCCGTCGGTCGCCTCCTTCGCTGTACGGCTTCCCTCGTAGCTGATGGCGTCGGGTCCACACTTCGCGTAGCTGCCACTGCCAGAGCCCGCTGCCACTGCCCGCCCACCTCGCTCTTCTATTCCTGCGTTGCATCTGGTGGTATCGGGCTCGTACTTCGCTGATCGCTCTCGTGCGCGGGCCTTTCGGACCGCGGCGACCAGCGAATTGTCGAGGCAGCGCTGCTCCGTGGGGAACGCTGGGTCGATCGGCTCTTGCTCGTCGTAGTTCGCGCTGCTGGCTGGGACTGGCGGGAGGTGTAAGGCGGGCTTGGCGGTGCTGCAGGTTTGAGCCAAACTGTGTAGCTCGCCGGCTCGGATCGCCTGGGCGGCGCGCGCCGCCTCCTCCGCCCTTTGATGGATACGATTGGCCGACGGATATGCGACCCCTGGCGAAAAGGCCGCAGCTGGCACCGCTGCGTGCTGCTTCCACTGCTCGTGCTGCTGCCACTGTGCTGCCACTTCTCCCAGTATCTTGCGAGGTGCCGCCACCTGGATTGCGATGTACTTCGTCTCGGTGGTGATGCCAGCTTTGCGTAGCCCCGCCTCGCAGGCGTCACGGCGCCGCCTGCGGGCGAGTCGGCGCGCCTTGCAGGCGCCGAAGAGGTCGACTTCGCGCTGGCGCTGGTTTGAAGGCCGCCGCTCGTTCGGGCAGCCCCCCTTGTTCCTCATCTCGTTGTGCTTCCACGGCTCGGGGCTGGCCCTGGCGCAGAGCTGCCGCCCGCGCGCCAGGCTGGCGCCCGTGAGGTCCACCCCAGCAGCGGCCCGCCCCCCATGAGGGGGGGAAATGGTTTGGGCCACAATGGGTACGGACCTTTCTCTTCTCCTTCTCCTCCTCCTCCTCCTCCTCCTCCTCCCCTCCTCCTCCTCCTCTCCTCTCCTCCTCCTCCCCCTCCTCCTCCTCCTGATCCTCCTCCTCCTCCTCCTCTTCTCCCTCCTCCTCCTCCTCCTCCTCTCCCCCTCCTCCTCCTCCTCCTCCTCCTTCTTCTCCTACTCCTCCTCGTCCTCCTCCTCCTCCTCGTCCTCGTCCTCCTCCTCCTCCTCCTCCTCCTCCTCCTCCTCCTCCTCCTCCTCCTCCTCCTCCTCCTCCTCCTCCTCCTCCTCCCCCTCGTCCCCCTCCTCCTCCCCCTCCTCCCTCAGATGGCTCGGAGGGCCGCCGGCCTCTGATGAGGGCCGCCTCCATGGGCCTGCTCCGGAGGCACGGGCGGCCCCGCCGCCTGCGGAGGAGCAGGAGGAGGACATCGACCCACAGGCACAGCTGAGCTCCGAAGCTGGAACACATACGTTACCAGTGGCTCTCTGGCCTCCAGGATCCGTCCCAGCAGGCGTCCTCTGCATTGTGCGAGGCCTCGGGCCAGGCTCCGAGCGCAACAGCAGGCCTCGCAGACTGGTGAGGCTCCTCCGTAGGCACATCCCTGCGCAAGGGGAGCAAGCACACGAACATTCGGAAACTAAAGCATCTACATTGCCAGTGGCGGGCTCTTCCTCAATCCCAGGACTTTTTGAGGCTCGGGGACGACGTCGGGGCGGTGTGGTGTACACTTGCTTCTTCGCTTTCCCAGGGAAACAGCGAAACAAACATGTATACACCAGGATCCCGTATACACCAGGATCCGCTTTCTTGTGCGAATTTCAGTGCGGGGCCGGACAGAACTTTGGTGTATAGAGTTCGGCTCCTTATGATCGTCGACCCCATGGAAATGATGGGAAGCTATGGGCAGTGGAGGGGGAGGACGACTGCACGAACATGTGAGAAGAAGATGTGGGGCATACTGGGATTTGTGTGTATGTGTGTGCATTTCTTTGTGTGTCACGGGGCCCCCTTCAGAGATGCAGGAGGAACAAAAACGACACCCAGGGGCGATGCATCGGCCCTTCGAGGTCGATGCCCCCCCCCCCGCATGGGGCCGATCCCCTCCGATCCCCCCGTGGACCGGACTGTGGGGTGGGGTCGCCGCCGGATTCGCACAAGCTTTTGGAGCTCCACCGCTGGCTTCTCGGATCGGGTCGGGTCCCGGCCCTGTCAGGAGAGGAGAGAACCAGCACGCAGCCACAGAGAAACGCAGATCTCCAAGAACACGAGGTCAAAATGCGGGAGGTGGAGGGGAAGGCGAAAATCCAGAGAATCTGGACATTGGTGGGGAATGCTGGAATTCGTGTCTGGCTGCTTCTGTGTGTGTGTGTGTGCCCCTGGGCCCCCTGGCGAGAGGGGCCGCTCGGCCCGAAGTGTGCGTCGGAGGAGCAGGACGTCACGATAGTGATGCTTCCAGGCCTCCTCCTCCTCCTCCTCCTCCTCCTCCTCCTCCTCCTCCTCCCCCTTCCCCTCCTCCTCCTCCTCCTCCTCCTCCTCCTCCTCCTCCTCCTCCCCCTCCTCCTCCTCCGAGATTTGGCGGCCCGCCCGGGGGGGAAGTGGGAAGGAGAAGGCCTGCTCAGAATGTTCGAAAGGTCTCCAGCCTTCGGAGAGGTGTTCTAAGCCTTCCCCGAAGGCACAGAGAACTTCTCAGAAGGCGCGAGGGATTCTCAGAGGCCCCACCGCCTTCTGAGAAGGCGGCCTCCTTCTCACTATCCCCCATCGCGCGCCGCCGAGAGATGGGATCGGAGTAGATGGGGATCGCGCGACATCACCGATGCATCGGCGATGCGGCTCGGTGTGGAGTCTGGTATCATCCACGCCGCTGTCGCGAGTGTGTCGTGGACGTTGCCGATGCATCGGCGATGCATCGGGGGTGCGGCGCGCTCCTCCCATCCCATCTTCTCGCACCCAATCTTGGAGGCCTCTCGATCTGTGCCACAAATTCTCGAGGCTTTCAAGCTTTCCAAGATCTCCAGATGCTCCACACGGGCTTCAGTCACGAGGGCCGCTGGATATTCTTGAACTCCTGGAAATCCTTGAGTGCATCTTGAGTCAAGCTGATCATGGCATTCTCCTTGTCCCAGTGCGGTCTTCCGCAGGCGCTGCCAGTTCTGAAGGCCGTGGTTCCGCGGTCCCTGCTCGCCCCCGCTTCCTCGTGCCCTTCCTGTGCCCCCATCATCCCTCTACTTCGGTAGCCAATCATGGGAGCCTGGTGTATCCTCTTCATTCCGTCTTTAGCTTCGACTAGCGTCTAATAGCGTCTGGGAGTCGATGAGATAGCGCCGACTTAGCGTCGGTCAGCGTCGAGTAGCACCGACTTGCGTCGATTTGCAAGAGCCGACAAGATGATATGGGAGGCTCCCATGAGTTGCCTCCGAACTCTACCGCGGATGCACCGGCTTAGCCAGCGCGCATTGCACCAAATCTGCAATGTTGTTGATGTGACAGGGCATGGATTGCTAATGGTGATAGTGGTCTCTCCTCAGAGAGGACGTCATGTCCAACTCGCGCCCACCTTCAAATCACTCTGAGCCCCACCAAGCAGATGCCAATATGCAAGGAAGCTTGAGTATCTAGTTTGTCGGACCTTCGGTCTTCCTACCTCTGGCAAGCTGCTCCCCCTACTGTTCACTATTGTTCACCATATCCCATATTCCGTCTGTTTCATTCAGCCTCGATCTGCCCTCAGCCTGTTCTTCCAGGCATTTCCGTGTTCATTCTTCAGACCTGCCAAGTCCAAATTTGACGATATGTTTGTCTCGTGTCGATGGACTTTTACATTGGGATGCTTCTTGGAAGCTCGCGTCATTCGGAGACGCCTTTTCGAACTCGGATATCAGAGAAGATCTTCGTCCCGTGTTGGATATGATATGTAGCCCCACGGTTTCCATCCGTCGATATCCGTTGGCCAGAGCGAGATGCAATACATAAGCCCCCCCCTGCGGAGAACGGATGACGGAACGTGGTCCTTTGTTGGCGCGTTGATAAGTCATTGTATGTGTGTTGCGAAAATAACGGACCTGCAGCTGAACGACATCTTGGCGGAATTCGACGAGATAGACCGCATTCACGCGGGCGTACGCAGACTGCAGCTGTCTTGACTTCCGAAGGAAAACGGTACATCCATGCTTCCATCCATCGTTCTGCCTCGCTTGCATATTGCAGCTCTAGGGTTTATTCCAGTGTTGAGCTGTGTCATGCTATACGCCACGACTGAACGGGATACTCCAGATTTCGTAATAAAGGGAGGGGGGTCTCTTTTCGGGGGGTCTCTTCCAGGCTATCTTGGAGGGCCTGGGGGGTCTGGGGACGATGTTTTGGAGGGTTCTCCCATGGGGGAGGTCTGAAATGGCTTGTCTCGGAGGGTCCAGACCCCCTCCCTTTTATTACGAAATCTGGAGTACACAGGCGTTGCTGTTTGATTTGGACCTGCGCGCGTTGGTTGGACGTGTCTTGCCCAGATACCTACGCTGCATATACTTGTTTGTGATTGGCTACTTTCTCCTCAGAAGAAGAATGCGTGAGGCGTTTGGTGCTGTCCTCGAGCACAGGGAGATTCAGCGGAACAGTGCCGCACCCTGCCGCTCAAGCAGCAGTAGGATGAGCACGCAGGCGGTCGAGCGGCGAGGCGATGAGCCGATGCTTTCCTGGGGCCTGGTGGCTGTCGCGCAGGCTTGAGGCCAGGAGTCGGTGGCTCGCCCGGGGGGGGAGGTGAGAACGGGCAGGCCTTCTCGGAAGGTGGCGGGGCTTCTCAGAAGCTCTCCGGAATTCTGCGAAGCCGTCCCTGTCTGCGGAGAGAGCTGAGACACTTTCTCAGGAGTCTGGCGGCCCCCCGGGCCTTCTGAGAGGGCCCGCCCCCTTGTGACTTTCCCTGGGCTGCCAGGCTTGTCGCCTAAAGTAGGCCGCGACGGGTCAGGCGTAAGGGCAACTGGGGCGCACAGAAGGGTCCTCGGCGATTTGGGCGCGTTTGGTGGAGGGTCCGAAGCGCTTTGGGAAGGCCTTCCAGGGCCGATGGAGGGCTCTGGAGCCCGGCCTCCCAGATGGGGTCCGATTGGACGGGGTGGGAGGATCGCGCCGCGTCGCCGATGCATCGGCGATGCGGCTCGATGTGGAGCCCGATTTGTCCCACGCCGACGTCGCCGAGGCCTCTATGTAGGGCGCCGTTCGAGAGGGAGTCGCCGTGCTGGACGTCCAGGCACCGCTGAATGGCGGGATGCAGGGAGTGCTCCTCCCTGCTTGCCGTCGGCCGGCCTGTTCGTTGGATCCTGTGTGCTCTTTTCGCTTGTGCAGGCCGTGTGTCACGATTCCCAAACATCAAAGCACGCTGTTCTCGCCACATCGCTAGCACATCCAAAGCACATGCACAGGTAGTCTGGGACTCCCGGGTCACAATCTACCCTCGGCGTCTTCCTACTCCAATCCTCGACGATCAACTGTATACAATTCGCGCGGTACGTTTTGTTTTTTTATCCTCCTGCGAGGAACGGTCGGCAATGATGGCGATCGTACGTTCGTGGGGGAGGCGCCCCCCCCCCTCCCAGCAATGCTGGTGCCCGAAGGCATGCCTTGCCCGACACTGCGGCGATCGCAGCGCACCCTTGGCCCCGACGTGCCCCACGCCGCCGCCCAGGCAGGACCGCCACCTCCTGGCCCCCCTCCTCCTCCTCCTCCTCCTGATCCTCCTCCTCCTCCTCCTCCTCCCTCCTCCTCCTCCTCCTCCTCCTCCTTCTCCTGCTCACGACCGTTATGCGGAGATAGCAAAAAAGAACCTCCACGGGACTGGAACCCAACCCACTCTTCCCAGAAGTCTGGTTGCTCCCATTTTTTCCCAGGCGTGGGCCCCGGAGGTCTGGACCATTTTCCCTGGGGCTGGGTTTTCGTCCTCTGTCGTTTGTTGACGCTCCCGAGGCCTGGCGAGGGCCCCCGGGGCGGCCGAAGCTGGGCAACAACCGACCTCCCCAAGTTTTGGTCGGAGCGTCGGATGTCGGGGGGGGGCCAAGCAGGGCCGCCTAGGATCCGATTCCATGCGATTCGATTCGCAAGCTGGGGCCGCGATTCGGATTCGATTCGATTCGCCGTCATCGGCCGGGATCAGCAGGAGCCGATCGCGACGCTCCGAGTTCTATTCGGTTCGGGACGATCCGCTGGAGATCCGGTGCGTTTTCGATCTGATCCGATCTTGCGGTTGGATCCAGCTCAGGCCTGCCATAACCAGTTTGAAGCATACCCCTGCCCCTGTGTTTGGCATCACCTCACCTCGATACCGATCTGAAGGATTCCCTCAGCTTCTGAGGGCCTAGATATTGCTTTTGTTAGGATCGGGCAATAAGCCGGGTTATCGGGCTTGCCCCCCCTCCCCCCCCCAGGATAACCTAACCTTGCCGTATGTGCAGGTCCGCGGAGGGGGGGGCGCGGGCATGCAGGGCTGCCCACTGCGCGAGGGTTAGGTCATCGGCCGGCCCCCTCCCCCCCCCCCGGGGATAACCTGGGTTATCGCCGCCGCTTTGCAGAAACGGCCTCCTGTCCCTGAGACTGCCCTCGCTCTTGGCTTGCCCGCCTTGGGGACAGGCATCACTTCGAGCCTGGTCATGCCCGGGGCCCGCCCCGCGCGCGCGCCAGGGCCAGCCCGCCCTCGCCGTCGGCGCGCCGCCGCGAGCCGGGGCGGCAGCGCGAGCCCCGGGGGCGCCCCGCGGCCGGCGGCGCGGCCAGTGGCGCGCCAAGCGGGCCGAACGAAAGGGCCGCCACGGCCGGCTCCGCTTCTGGAGATGTCGATCAGAGGAGGAATAGGTTCCCATACCTCTACCCTTCGCCCGTTTTCCCCTTCTCGGGCCTCCTGGGGAGCCCTCGTCGCCACCGCTGGATTCGCCTCGAAATCCTCGTCAGAACGCACCCCGGGAGAGGTTCGGGGAGTAGCGGTATCGGTACCTCTTGATTTCCCCAATATCGGGCCGGACGAAAGGGAGAGACAGGGAAAGATGGGTTTACGAAATGTGCTGCATGCATTTGGTTTCGGCCCCGCCGCCGGGCCCATTCCTCGATACATGGGCGCCTCCTGGCGCCGCGAGGCGCTGGGAGAATCAGCTACGTGAGCCGATTCTCAAGCCCCCCCTTTGCTATTCCCCCCTTTCGCCCGGCCCGAGCAAAGGAAGCCGTGGCGGAGCCGTGCGGTCGGTCCCTGCTCAGCGCATTGGTGGGTCCAGGTCGATTCGGGGTCACCGCACGGTTTTGGGATTCGAGTCCCTCTCCGGGGGCGTCTTGGGCGACGGGGGCCTCCAGGGTCCCAAGACCGTGCGGCGACGGACCGTGCGGTGAGGTTATTTGTGGCTCCGAGGTCACCGCACGGTCTGTCACCGCACCGTTTCGGGATTCCAAAGTCGGGGCAGACGGCGAGGGTGGATCGGCGTCAGCATACTAATACCATGTGTGCGTCGCCCCGCTAGAGGCGACGCGCGCAGCGAGACATGCTCTAGTATGTGCGTCGTGCCGGGCGTTTTCTGGCCACACCGCTCGGGGAACGATGCACTACAAGATGGGTATGCTATATGTTCGGGTCGGACGCACGCCTCCGAGGAAGACATACAGTACTAGTACGTCCTTTAGTACGGTATGTCCTTGTGCGTCCCAGTGGATAGCCCAGGGGCGGGCGTTACACTTGTCGGGGTCCGGCCACGGCAGCACTATTTCAGGAGCCAGAGTGACGCGCTGCGCAGTCTTTTGGAGTTCAAGGCCTCCCCCCCCCGCTCCGGCGCCCGAAACACAGCTGCAGTTGGCGGGCTCCGAAAAGTGCAAGGCGGGTTCCTGGGCTTTTGACCTCCATCGTTTTCTCCGACCATGGGCGGCAGTGGCGAGGGACGTTTGCAGATCACGAGCGACCGGAAATTTTCGGTGACGGATGTCGGGCTCGCAACATTTCGGTCGCGACGGGAGGTGGTCGAACTTCGGTAGCGAAGAGCTGGCTCGCTCTCACCACCCACCAAACCACCCCAACCGAACCCGAAGGCTTCAATTTGCCCGCCATCTCCAGTGGGGGGGTGATCGGGGACCGTTGAAACAATACGTGGAACCCGCACCCTCTCCCAACCCGATCTTCGGGTCAGATTCGGGTCTTGGGTTGGGTTGGGGTGGTCTGATAGGTAGTCAGTTACCCGCAATAGTGAAAAGAGGGCGAATTTCGGTCGCGATTGGTCTGTCCAGAGCGTTGCTGCAAAAATCCTCGGCAGCAGAGAATCTGTGTCTGCGGCCGTCGGGCGAGCGTCAGTCGACGACGCGCCGGGAGGTGAGGGGAGAGGGGGGCGGGCCTTGTTAGAATTCAGTCGGGCCTGTCCTTCTACAGGAGGATATAGTCTGGGGGCGATTTGAGATTTTTTTTCGATGTTCGAATATTGTTTCGAGTAACTATTTCTCAGTTTTCGTCCAATATCCGCCCGTAGGGGGACATGACCGACCTAATGTTCGAAAGGCGGCGGGGCTTCTCAGATGCCCCCTGGCCTTCTGTGGGAAGCCGGCCGTGGTTTCGGAGAAGGTTCGGGGGCCCCCAATTGGTGTGGTGAGCACACTGAGTGGTGAGTCGGTGGGAGTGTGGAGTCGGTGGAGATTCGGGGCCACCGCGCGGCCTTTTGGGACTCGGGTCGCTCTCCGAGGACACCTCGCGCGACGGGGGCCCTCCGAGGTTCCCCCAGTGCCGTGTGGTGCCGGGCCTTGCGGTGCGGTCTTTGCCGATGCCACCGCTGCGAGGCGGGGATTTATCCATATCCACCGCCTGGGCACCGACGTCCTGGTGCCCCAGCGGGCGGTGGATATGGATATATTCTAGTGGCCTCCGGCCAGTGCCGCCGATCCGGGACGCTCCGGACGATGATGATGATGATGATGATGATGATGATGATGATGATGATGATGATGATGATGATGATGATGATGATGATGATGATGATGATGATGATGATGATGATGATGATGATGATGATGATGATGATGATGATGATGATGATGATGATGGTGATGATGATAATGCTGATGCTGATGCTGATGCTGATGCTGATGCTGATGCTGATGCTGATGCTGATGCTGATGCGATGATGATGATGATGATGATGATGAT